GGCAGAGGAGGAGTAACAACCAACAGAAGTCAAGAAACCCAACCTATGTAATACTATACGTACCATCCCCCATGGTCCATGTACTGCCTGATGAGTTCGATAGGGGGCTGTGCTCCGTACACCTCCAGTGCCGGCATGTTCATGTCGTCGATGAAGATGATGAAAGTCTTCCCCAGAGGGGGCCCAAACACACCCTTCCTCCGTTTGTCCAGTTTGCTAAAAATAAAATAAAAAAAATTAAAAGTTTCATAATTCTTAATAATGTTAGCACATTGAATATACATGAAAGCAAAATAGCTAAAATGCATAATGTTTACCTTCACATATGGTCTGCTCTGTTAATTCTTATTCAAACACATTCATATATGGTGACAGGAGTCTAAATCCCTCCTGCTATAAAATTGCAACATGATGTAACCCAACATTAGTTACCATGGTGACAGACGTCTGGTTCAGGTCATTGACCTTATTTGTTTGGAGAAGGAGAGGAAAAAGAAACAGAGCAAAAACAGTATGTTTTCCTTCTGCATATGTAAACAAAATTATGATTACTGTAAGTCCAGTTATGTTCACGAATGCTTTATTTCACGAGATGGAGCAATTTGGGAGTTCACGAGGTCTATGACTTCGCGAGTCGGTATTTTTAACAAGGCGTTACATATGTCTCTGTCGGCAAACTTACCGACAGTCGGTACGGGAAATTATCAATCTTTTTTTTTCGGGACGCGCGGTTAGAACATGGTTTCTTCGACATGACACTTGCCCATTAACGCAAACTCGGGTCCTGGTGCAATGGACGGCATCGCCAACAACGTGGACATCGCCAGGGGATGGGATGGCAATGGGATCAGAGCCGCCTTGAGCCGCGCGCGTGAGTAAACAAAGCAGCCGCCGGTCCGCCGCCGCCATGTTTGAACTTTCGACTCGCAAATTTTGCCAACTTCTACACGTAAATTCCTCACGTAAATCATCATTAGTTGTGAAATTTTAGCGCACTTTTCTATAAATTTGCTGGTTGGGAACATTCAAAACCATGTTGATTTAATAAGTTGTAAAAAAAATCAAGCAAACTTAGACCATTAGACAACGCGCTATGTAAACAAAGGCCGCCATGTTGGATTTCTTGTGATTTGTCGATCGGCTTGGCGGGTACTCGGCGGTAGATTTTCGTGCAATTCTTCCCTATAAATACCTGTTAATGTTGTATATGTAGCGTAAAGTTTCATGGGATGTATGGAAATCTTGTGAAATGATTTTTTTGCGTGTAGCTTTGGTGAGTAACGTTTAACCCGTGTAGTTTGATCTTTCGAGGTATAGACAAAGACCCACGCCACGCTATCCCGCTTGGTTCTATTTTTTGCCGATTTTCCGTACCGTAAATATTCTGCTTAACGTCGCTTGTACACGACAACTTTTCACCGATGTATGTTGTAAAATTCCGTATGTACGATGTTGCACATGTTTACAGCTGTTCGCTGCTATGTTATCGCTAAACTAGCGTTCTTGTTAAAACTGATGTTGTATAGTCGGCTTTGTAAACTTTTACCATTCTTTGCAATTAGCACTTGTACTAGTAACAAAATAATGATTCCGTGAACCATATGCTCATTGAATAAAGTTTATTTGATTCTGAAATGAAGTCTGCTGTTATTCGTTGAGTCTTGTCATTTACTAGTACTACGTAATGTAGAAGTTGTTAGTATAGTGAATAGAGTTGCGACGCACGATGTGTGGGGGAGGGGGTGGTACGTACGGAATGGGTTCGCGAGGAGGTGAGTTCACGAGAAGAGCGTCTTCGTGAAAACCGTGAACTTAAAGATTTCGTTATCAAAAATGGACTTACAGCCATTCCAGGTGGCCCCATTACGACAGGGGTGAGCGCAGCTAATACGATATTAGTGACACGATCCATCTTCCCGCGTACAAATCGCTGAGGGCGTGTCGTACCCAGAACCGTGCTTTCTCCTAGACCAGGCTCAGGCACAGTTCTGGACAGTTCACGCATATCCAGAACCATGCCTGGGGAAATGTATGTTCTTGGATAGGCGGAGACTATCCAGAACTGTGTCTGATCCAACCCCCCTCCCCCCTAAATCTACCTTCTTCAGAATGTCCTCACCTCACCTCATCTCACCGTGGACCTATTCCCTGACCTCATTGGGGGATCGTTGGGACACCATAGAATGTCCAGGAAATGTAATTGGGATTGAAATAAATTCAGATAACTTTTTCAGTGTTTGCTGAGTTTGTTGCACTGAAACCGTGAGTGAAAGTTTCACAGCACAATGAATATCAAGAGTTCCCTGTGTAAGTTTTTAATTCACAAGCGAAACTAGCGTAGGAACACATGACAGAGGTCAGTCTCACTATGAAAAATAGGGAACATAACTTCAAAGGAAATATTTCATGACTTACAGTAGTTTTCTAACAAAGCCTGTGAAAGGATAGGCCTGTCCTGTATGTGATAGAAGTAAGACAGATGTATGCTATGTTGACTGATGGCATGTGCTATTACATACCCTGCCTACAAAGAACAGCCAGGCACTATTGTAACATGTAGCTCCAGGCCTCCGTACCATTGATGCATGCAAGACAGATCATTTATAATGCTAACCCAACCGAAAATCAGGCTGTGTTACACAATTTCTCACTGTCAGGGGCTGAATCTTCCCCTACAGCTTGTGGTCATAAAAAACGTTTAAAATTCTAGGGACCTGACCAGTGGAAATGCTGCTAGTAGAAGTGTGATATTAAATCTTTCTGACACAAAGGGTTTGTTATGCAATCATTCACTTTTCAAATAGTAAGGACTTTTGAAAGACATATTTGAAAGTCAAATTGTTCTGTGAGAGACCAAGAACAAGCTAGTAGTACCACATTATCAATTAGGACTAATTTAGGAGACACTAGTACTTCAGTATAATAATAATCAAGAACACTCAACAAGTGTGTGTGCCCGTTATCTTTTTGTTCGTATCAAATGATTTGAGAAATGGATTACAATAATCTAAGGCAATACTTTACAGTCAGTAGAGTGCTACATAACATGTGAAATACCATGGTAAGCACTTTAAACTAACCCTATAACTCACTAGCTGTTAACAGTTCACAAAGGTACAACTACACGTATCATCTGTTGTCAACAAAACTGACAAAAGGAGTTTAACTCCTTCTGAAAGGCCAAATTCCCGGCTGGCATGTCTTGTTTACTTGTGCCAATTGCCGGTGACCTTTTGACCTCTTGGGCATTCTTCGTTCAAACGTTAACCTTCCTGCTTTCTAAACATAAGTTTAGGGTGTATCCTTCACAATACGGAAATACCTGTATGAATTATTGAAATAAGTGTATACATGTATTGTACTGCATTGTAATAGTATATAAAAGTCTATTTGTAGTGTTAGATATTCTTTTGAAAACTGAACCCCTTTGTAGCTGGATACAGGTATGTAGTGACAATATGGCCTGATTTCCATAATCACACTTCCAGAAGTACTTCAACGATTCTGTCGAACCTTAATGAAATTTACTAGCCAGGCGTATGACTGATTCCTGGGCTCAAAATCCAATCAATGTGCTACAGCTGTCCCTGAGGTATTTTATCATTTGCATGTTTTGAAGCACCAGACTAGGTGGTATGATGATGTATCATCTATTACTGTAAATCTTAAAATGTTCACGGTGGTTATACTTTCTTGGCAATCTCTACTCCAGCATTACAAATTTAAGTCAACATGAATATGCTTTTTCCAATGGATTACCATTATACACAAAATCCTTGTTGTCAGTTTTTCATTGTTCCTTTTCGTTAAACTCCAAGCAGATGTAGGAAGGCAAAACCATAATTTTTTCTAGCCCCTCGTTCCTCATAAAACAAGATAACTTAAATAATGACAATTTGTCGCATATCTTTGGAAAACATTAGGATTTGGCCTTCCTACATCTGCTTGAGGATTAGCTCTTTTTTTCCCACTATATAACTTAAGTTATAACATACTTCCTTGTGGACAAATTCAAAACAACTTCAGACAGATTTCTACTCTTGGTACCAAGATTCTTTAATCTTTTGCTAAGAGGCAGCTGCTGTCCTGTCATTGTGCCTTCACCAAGACATAAGTACGTCTGATTAACCGTTGGACACGGCATGTATTCTAACTGAGACATTCCAAGCAGCCTCCAATGGTTTCCTTGGTCTCTTCTGTATCAAATCCTCCCTTTCCACTACACTTCTACAAAAAGGAGGTATCCATCTTTTTCAACGATAATGTTCCCAACAAAATGAAGATTTTTTTTCACATCTTGCCTTTGTAACTAATCTGCATATTTTTTTCCCATGGAAAAATATATTTACTAGCATACATCACACATGTGAAAAGCTAAAAGGAAGGCAAATAATACAATGTACATTGATGAATGTTAGACATCCAGGTAATGCCACTACTAATGGAAAATACATTTGTACAAGGAACTTGTTACTCAAGCAACTGGATTAGATTTGAAAACTGTTAAGACATTAAAGTAGCATCCACTACTTTTTGTCAATGACTGACGGAATCTATCCAGTTGCTTGAATAACCATTTCCTTGTGTACAGACAACGTATATTACATATCTAGTGCAGATTATACAATTGATTACTATAGCAATCCAAACTTTGAGTACTAAAGTACAGTTTTACTAAACTTCAGATTTCAATTTTTGTCCCCCCCCCCCCCAGAAACCGGAAGTGCAGTGAAAACGCCAGCCCTGACGCTTGACTATGTGCCTTGCTCACAGAACAATGCCGAGAATTCTAAGGACGATCAGACATTGTTTACACGGCGAAGATGACATCCACCAGTCTTCGTCCCCCCACCCTGACGTTTGGGGACAGACCGCCGCGGCTGAAACGCAACCCTGACGCCGGAATCCGACCTGCATTCAGCTACAATAAAGCCAGTCTTTATGCTCGGGTCATAAGGTCCCATAGCAAGCCGGCCGAATTAAAATGCAGCCTGGAGTGTACAGTATTTGAAAAAACACATTTTTTCCACGCTAGTGCCTATCAACGGTTTATTTCCACGATTTACATGCAAGGATGTGTTTCATTTCTTGACAAGATGGTTTGAAAAGGGTTTAGAGCTGATGAAAATCATGCAACGGGGGGTACAGGAGAAAAATTCTGGAAACACCTCGATCATTTTTTTGCGGTGAGTCTGGTGTGCAAATACAGTGGCTTTGAGTTTGAGTGTTGAACCAAGACTAGCCTAGACGTCATCGATTATAGTGCGGAAAAACGAAAAACAAAGTTGTGGACGCTCGGAGGGATATGCAAGATAGTAAACAGTCCTTTCTTGGTTATTTAAAATTTTTGGTTTAGCCGCACGCGTGACCTGGTCGGCACCAGACGGGTAGCAGTTTGCACTGAGGTCATCGTCTCCAAAAAACACACAGAAGCCCAAAAACCGAACCTGTCATTCGAGAAGGGGGCTATATTTACGCCAGAAGCACGCACCTGATCGCTCTGTAACTCCGCCCGGATAAAGTATGGAGTCTTCTCCGTCGATCCGTGCCGTTCTCGCGAAGTTGTTGACGGGAACACGCGTTGGAGCCCGCTGAAGTCACCACAGCCCTCTCCGTCACTTACCCATCGCCTCCATTTTCTTCTTGCCTTGGCTGACGAATTTCCCAGCAGGCCGCGCGAGGGAAATTACTCCCCAGCCGACCAATCAGAAGGCTCCATTCCTAACCAGCTGTCAGCCGGCCGGTGTTTCTCACTGTTTACCTGTTTATTTCGCCTTTTAAAGCTGGATTTTTTAAAAGTAAGGAGCTAGAATTTGCTGAAAGGATGCACCCTGCTGTCGCTATCGCCCTGGTTTTCGCCGGATGCTGCAGTAATGTGGTTTTTCTGGAGCTGCTGGTCACGTAAGTAGTCGGGAGTCTTGCAGCCGACGTGGCCACCCCCCTCCCCACTCAACTAACATGACTCCTAACAAATTATTAGTAACATGCCTAAGTTGATACAGTATCTAAACAGATACTAGACTCCTCCCCCCGCAGCCAGTCGTCTGTTTAATTTGACGATTCACCGCAACCTGCACATTTTGTCTGTAAAAATTTAACGTTAAGTTTCTAAAATTCACTGTAAATCACCGGTGATCATACCATATCATAAAACAAGAGTTCCACGATCTCATACCTTCGCCAAATGATGTTAACCCTTGCGGGTGACGAATTATACAATTTTAATCATTGATTTTGTAAATAAGAGCCTCATTTGCATGGATTATATCAGTTGATCATATTCTCCATCCAATGACAGCCTTATCATAACAAAAAGGCTATTATAGCACTTCCTCATAAATTATGCAAATCAGGTCAAAATTTGAATAAATTATATTTATTGATGTTCACCTTCACTTAACTTCCAAATGTGGCAAGTATGAAATTCGGCGTGCAGCAGTTACAACTATGGAATTATAAGAATTTGCCATTAATTATGCAAATTAGGTCCTCATTTACATAATCTATATCCTCAGATGTTTTCTCGTTCTCAAGTAGATGTCACAAGTGTTTCATAGTTCTATTATAGAACAAAGCAGATTTATAGAATTTCCTCATTAATTATGCAAATTAGCCACAGATTTGCATAATTGCCATCTGATTATGTCAAGCATCACTTAAACTACCTACATACCAAAAATCACGACAATACGTCAACCGGTTCTTGAGTTATCGTCCTTCAAATTTTTTTCAACAAATGCTCCTGCAGTTCCAGAACAAGGCGCTAGGGGACCCAAACTCATGTCACTTCTTTCCTACCCCAAGAGCTATCTACCAACCAAAATTCATGACCCTAGCATGTCCAGAACATGAGATATCAAAACCGGAAGTTCAGCTGCAGTACCTAGGAAAGCCGCAAGGGGGCCCAAAATCTAATCATTTCTAGGTCTCATGAAGACCTACCCACCTACCAAGTTTCATTCCAATCCATCCACTGCTTCTCGAGTTATCTTGCTAAACCACACACACACAAACACACACACACACACACAGACAAACGCTACTGAAAACATAACCTTCTTGCCGAAGGTAATTATAGGAAAATAACCCAGCTATAATTTCAAACTATATAGGAGAGAGGAACCCTCCTGTCTGAAAATTATGTCTGATGTCTTGTGTCTGTCCAGAGAGCATCCAGGTGCAGGGAACATCGTCACGTTTGCTCAGTTCCTGTGGATCGCAGCAGACGGCTTCTTCTTCACAACAAACTTCGGCCGTAAAAAGCCAGTCATTCCTGTCAGGTACTAAAAATGCTATATACATGTATCAAGCACGTCGGCAGAACGTACTGCACCTGCGTGAAACCTGTAATGTATTGTACATAGCACTTCGGCAGAACGTCTCATATAAGGTTGTATTCGCACATATAAGGTTAACATCCCGCCTGTAGTTCTCAAATGTTGTGTTGGAAAAAATATCCTCTGCAACAGGCAAAATTCTGATGCAACAGTGACCAAACATCCAACAAAAACCGCTAAAATCCAGGGTTCTGCGCAGGCGCAGTACGTTCTGCCGACGTGCTCATGTATCACCATCCTAGTGTCAGGTCACATGTGTCGAACGATTGCAAATGGAGGGCACATTCTTGAGTTATACAGATGTCAAACAAAATTCAGCTGTCTTATGTAGGAAAGATAGTACCAAAAATAACATTCTTTGAAGGTTCAAATTACAATATATTACATGTAACGTTACACAAAATGTTTACCTGGGTCGTTTTTTTTTTTGCAAAAAAGGTTTTTCTCCATAATGATAGTCAGACACAGTGGAATGGCATCATAAGACACGTACGGAACCCATCAGTTCACAAGTAAAGAAATCAATCAAAAGGATGGACGAATGGATTTTATTCAATATCTGCACCGTTTAAACTAAAGTAGGAAGCTTTCGTATTAATCACTGAGCTCTTTTTTGAAACGCCGTTTAATTATAGTTCACCAGATCTCCTCAACTACCGGTAGTCATATAGAATCCACAGGACTACAGGTTTATGTGTTGATCTCTGCACACAAAAGTTGAACTCAATCTGCCTGGATGATGTTATCTTGAAACCATCATCTCTCCATCCATCATGAAGAGACTGTGCTCACAGGGGTATATTGTGTAATCAGGTTTTTGCATGGACGAAAGCCAAAGTCGTTATATCTACACCCAAGGTCAGACAGAGTTATATCTCCGTGGACAAAAGAAAATGATGCGACGTTATAAATGACTGCTGGAACGTAATGATTTTCAATTACCGGTAATTTTCCTATTGGCTGATTTCTGATTAGGACTATTCCAAAGTTGTGAGGGGGGAAGGAGAATGGTCCATTTTCATGAATGGGAACTATAATAGTGGAGGAATAAGTCCTATTTTATTGTAAATTGTGAAACGTTTTTGTTAGCAATTTTCATAGTGATTTCTCACTGTAAACTCATCAGAGTCATCACACTGCAGAGTGCAGACATACATTTTGTCTGTGTTGCATGGATGCAAATTTGAAATACAACAGTTACTCCTTTTCCCTCCTACCATGAAATTAACTCCAAGAGTACTAAAATCCATTTACAGTGTAGTGCAGGTAAAATTTGTCTAGAGCATGTAATTTTCAATGCTACCTGCACCAGTGCAAGTATGCAAAAAAAGATTTTGAGCCCTGAGTCAAATCAAATTATACTTTGTGACGACTTGTTTTGCAGTAAGTACGCAACGATGGTGGTGATGTTCTTTACAGTCAGCGTGGTGAATAACTACGCCCTCAACTTCCACATCCCCATGCCTCTGCACATGATCTTCCGAGCGGTGAGTTAACCTAAAGACTGCTAAGGAAGCTGCTTTAGCATCGGATTTGTATTGGTCAGGGGGTTAGAGTTAACTTTGGACAGCAGAGATAAGGTTAAAAGCGGCATTACATGTTGTTTTAAAGGCTTCCCATGCAATTACATGGTCATGGCAAAACTATGTTCAGGATGAGAAAATCTGTCTGATGTATTTATGTATTAGTATACTGTACCTTTTGAACTCTGGTATAGTCTGCAAAACATTTCTGGTCCCTTTTGAAGTAATGCATAATGAGAATACAACTGGAACTTCTGTCTTGTGCAAGGTGAGAGTACCGGTAAATTGGGTACGTGATACAGGTACAGATACGGGCCTGATTGCAGCATGCCCCTTCCTTGCTCCTAACAGTGTCTGTTCAGAGCCAGTCTGATTGATCCACTGCGCAGTTAGCATGAGACCAGCTCCCCTGTGGTACATGTATTACTGGTGTGTCCACAGAGGTGTAGTTTGCAGGGAAGGCTCATTTTATGCACTGTTACCTTCAAATTCAGACCTTGTAGTCAAGCCTTCCAGTAATTCCCAGAGATGACATCATTTTTTTCAACCTCTCTACCAATCTTGAAGTTTTTCATCCCAGAAATATAGGGGGAACAACAACTGCAAAAATGATCATTAGGATCTGTGTGAACATTTTCATACAGTACCAGTTACTGTGATTGTGTGAATTGTTTCATTGTTTGATTCAACACAAAATGTAATCAAAGAGGAGGCATGATCTGTCTCAGCATTTATTGCAGGAAATGTACTCACCTCTATTCTGGGTAATGTACCTTCACAAATTCAGTAGTCTGTTGCTATATGCCAATTTACTAGTACATGACTTTTTCCAGCCATTATAAGGCTTAGCATTGATGGACTTTAGAGGAAAGAACAAATTGCAGATTGGTATGTGGATTGCCACTGTAGGATTACACTACAGGATATTACTGAGAATGGACGACCTGTGTTAACCTAATTTGTCACCATATATGGAAGTGGGACAGATTGGATGGCCTCTGTTAACCTCATTTTCTATCCATATATGGGAGTGGGACTGAGGATATTGCCCCCTAAACTTCTTTTTTTTTTCACAGTCGGAATGTACTGTACTGTATTTTTTTTCAGCCACAAAATGAAGTCCCTGCAAATAATAAAGCAATGTACAGTATCTGCAAGGGTAAACCAATCACAGAGTAATCGAAGTTTCACAGAAATGCTACTGGGATTGTTAACAATTTCTACTGGGAACAATTATACAACATCGTCATTTTCCAAATCATACACATGGGTGTATTTACCCTTGGCCCAAATTCTACATGAAAGGAAACTAAATGAAAGGTCACACTTCCGCTGGAATCATAATGCATAATGTAGTAAACTTTAACTATCTTTTACATGAAGTTAGGCCACACTAAGTTCATTATATAGATGACATCTGCACCTGCATCTGATCAGTATTGGTGTGTAATGTAATCTTTATCTCTTTATCGCTTTTGTAGGGATCTCTAATTGCTAATATGATGCTGGGAATCATCCTGTTAAAAAAGAGGTCTGTATATCACCTTGGCTTAACTTTTGGGAGAAAGCTACATTTAAGATCATATAGATTTGAGTCTTAACATGAAATCTGATCAACAAAAATGAAGTTTGTTAACCATTCAGTTTGTTTTCCATTCTGGAAGAAATATGAATCACACAGTCTTGATTTTTTTTATATTCATGCTCAGTATGTTTTTCATTTTGAAAATGTTACTGTAGAACTTTAAATTTAGAATTTGGATTTGGCAGGGGGGGCCTGCATGAAGGACTGTGCACAATGCACATGTACCATTATTGGTGTCTAACATTTGACTTTTTTTACTGTGGCAGCTATAAGCCAGCCAAGTATGTAGCAGTCCTGATGATCACCTGTGGGATCTTCACATGTACCTACATGTCAGCCCAGTCTGTGGTAAGGATACTTAATTATTCATCTTAAACTTTTAACTGCTTCTTTTGTTAATCTTCAGTTACTGTAGAAGAACCAGTGTTTGCACTCTTCTTGATGTAACAGAAACCCTCAAATTTACAAATTTTACAGTGAGTCTGTGAAGTCTGTGGATTTGATCTGTGTCAATGTGTTGGACTGTGTAGGATGTAGAGATAGATTCATCCGGCAGTACACATGTAATACTATGTATTCGGTGTTGAATGATGTGTGTTAAGTCTGTCTGTAGCATGTATTCAATGTATACTGATCTGTATTTGGTCTGTCCAGGGTGCTGAAAACGAAGATGCTGAGACTGAGGATGAAGGGCTGGTGCAGTTCCTGTGGTGGTTGCTAGGTGGGGTTAGTCATATGTTGCAAACCTATGGCATAATGTTGTCTTGTATACAGGGATTGGGTGTAGTAGAGGTAGATTGTTGGCACTAGGATTGTGTACCTGGACTAGAACTGTGTACCTGGACCAGTGACATAGTTTAGATCAAGTCCTTGTTTAGATACAGGTCTGAACCAAAGTATATGGTTTAAGTACATGTTTACACTGAACTAAAAATACTAGCTAGGTACTAGTGATTGCTCTTTGCAATGACAACAATTTCAACAAATTAGGAAAACTCAGGGAGACCCAGTCTGCGCTACTGTATATCCCCTAGTAATAACATATGACACTGGGGAAACATAGTCTTATACATATTTGTCTTATACATATGTCTTGCATATACATGTACCGGTATCTGTGTTTGTTGACCCTTTCAGGCATAGCCATGTTGACCTTTGCCCTCTTCATGTCGGCCAGAATGGGCATCTATCAGGAAGTCCTATACTCCAAACATGGCAAACATCCGAAGGAGGCACTTTTCTACAACGTGAGTATGGCAAAATCACGACCCAGACATGTGTGGAGGCCCCTACACATGTGAGCTGTAGCAAGGCCACAGTGCACGAGTAGCTACTTGAAAAAGCATCATGATTCATGTCAGTTGAGGATGACAAAAGAACAGAGAAGAAGTACAGGACCAACTTTTAAATCCAAGAATGTTTGATATTTTTTTAACCCTCAGCCATGCCTCCATTGGGCAAGTGGCAAGCAACCCAGCTGGTTTGCGGTACAGATCGAATCCCGTGGATTCAGAGAGGGAGGGTTTAAGCCCTGCTTAGAACAGTTGGTCATAGCGTCTTTTGTCCTTTCAGATGGGGACATAAATCCAACGGTCCCATGTATGGAGGAGCCTCAGACATTAAACCTATGCATGTAAAAGAACCCAACTTACTTATCTAGAAGAGTAGGCGCTACCTGGTGTGCTTGGATGGAACTGCAAGCTGTAGTGAAGCCACGCTGCACTTTTTGCTACTTGAAAAAGCATCATGCTTTTTCTCAAGTTTCTTCCTAGCATACCATGTTTCTGTGAATATAGTCCATCTTTTGCATCCATTGGTCCTCTTGGTTTATATTCCCAGCATGCCTTGCCACTCCCAGCATTCCTCCCGTTAGCAGGAGACATCTACAGACACGCCGTCCTGTTCAGTCAGAGTGGTGAGGGATTTTTTTTCATTTACCGTAAATCTAAAAACTTTAGTGTAGTGATTTTATCACAAAGTCATGACACCATGAATATATCCTCCTGGTATGTACTGTACTATTGCATGTACATGGATTTGTACTATCCTCAGGGTGCCTTGTTACTTTGCTGAAATTCTTCAAGAAGCTTTCAAAGTGTAATTAGTCTAGACGTATATCAAAGAACTCAATGAACAAGAAATCAATGAACGTTTGTTACATTTGAGGAAGTTTTGTTAGGAATCATTTGATTGTACATGTCATTTTCGTTTTCCATTTCAGAGCCAATCCTGATACCTGTACTGGAGATCGGGGTCCCAAAGATGTGGTTCTTTCTACTGATGAACTGTATTACACAATATCCTTTTTATATGTACTTGGATTGATATACTAGTAATTTTTAATTAACACATCTTACATTGCCACACGTTGAGCTAGAAGTGCTATAGCTTAAAAAGACCATAAAAAGTTCAGTTGGCAATGCAGTGACAACTTGTTGGTTGTAGTTATATTCTGCTACCCGTATGTACTGAAATGTTGACTTACTGTTAAAACATGTATTTCCTTGACGTCCCCCTTCACATATATCTGTATCCGCGGGGTGTTCATCCTGACGACGGAGTGTGCCTCTCTCACCGTCACCCTCATCATCACCTTACGCAAGTTCATCAGCCTCATCCTCTCCATCTTCTACTTCCAGAACCCCTTCACCGTGTACCACTGGTTCGGCACCGCGCTGGTGTTCGGCGGGACACTGCTGTTTGTGGATATTTACAACATGATACGGCAGAGCCTGGCAAAGAAGAAGGATTGATTTTTTTATTTTAATTGGGAGGAGTGCCAACTCAAGGATTTATTGTCAGATTTTAAAAGGAGAAAACCGTGAACGTATGTGTGTGTGGGGGGGGGGCGTGTGTGTGTGTGTGTGTGTGTGTTTGTGTAAGTGCATGATTGTACGTGTGTATGCACATGCATGTGTGAATGCATGTTTGTGTGTATGTGTGTTTGTATGTGTGTATGCACATGTAGGTGTGCATGTGTGTATGTGTATGTGTGTATGCACATGTAGGTGTGCATGTGTGTATGTGTGTATGCACATGCAGGTGTGTATGTGTGAATGCATGTTTGTGTGCAGGCATAACCTGTTTGTGTTTATGGTGGATGAAAATACACTGCAAAATATGTTTATTTTAACCAGAGATTTCTCAATATTATTTGTAATTCTTTCCTCAATCATCACAGATATTGACAATTATTACAGTCATATTTATCATTATCATTATTACAACAATGGTTTGGTCACCTCATTTCATTTTTACTTTAGATATCATTTTCTTGATATCATATTTTCTTTTGATATTTGGCTGAAAGGAGTTATTCCTCTTGGTAGGAAGTTGTTTTAATATGAATATTCTGTTTCTGAGGTCATTTGAAAAGAACAATGATTTTATGCATTGAAAAAAAACAGTAATATGAACATGATAAACCTAAATTACATGTATGTAAATATTGGTGGTCGCTTATTTGTATTGACTCAGGACAATTTTTGTGCATTATCTCCTACCTCTATTTGTAAGACTTAACACAAATTTTAAATCCCCATATGTAATGGAAATATTGGTGTGAAATTATACTATGTAGCATGCAAATAATTTAGTCATAGAAAAAAATGGAAACCACACTAATAATTTTCAGTTCATGGAGGATCACTACAATTTATAGCCTGGAAAATATGAATTTGATGATATGTTTTTAGAATTTCTTTTCCTTTTGTTACTGTATATGATGATATAGCATGCAGTTTTGTTTAAGCTTGCCGATTTAGGGCATTTAAAATATTTGTCTATTTTTATAGACCATTTGTTTAGATTATCACTATGTACATGTGTGCCAAACTTTATGCTTTTGGGCAGATTTGCAAATATCTGATTGGATTTTGTTTGATGATTATACAAATGTATTAAGCACTGGTCAATAATGATATGCCCACCTCACCTATCCCTTCACCTCAGAGGGTTGTTGGGGCTCCATGATGAGGCCACTATTTTCCTATCATGTGCATGTGCTTGTAGACATAGTTTGATCTAATATAAAGTCTTATACAGTAATCAGTAAAATAGATGCATTTACCTACCAATAACAATTAAATTTGACAATGAAATTTGATAATGATATTTTGAAATAATTAATATCACATGGCTGTGAACTGTTTTTATAAGGTAGTTGTCTTTGTTCACGATAGGAAAAAATTCATATGATTTACTATACCTCAATGGATTCACCAACGAGATTGAGTCACCATGCTGTGTTTTGTGCAGATCATATGCAATGGTTAACAATACATCTTGTTCAGTTTTGGTAGAAACGAGGTTTGTATTCCACGTTTTTAAAGCAGATCATCCTGTTAGCCTATAGAAATGATCTGGGTAGTTTTCAGTTCATTGTTTCATTATTAGAAGAAATTTTGTTTTGCCTCAGTCAAAAACGGTGATTAAATTACGATGCTCAACAGAATATTATGAACGGTCCGGCCATTCTTGTAACGTTGTAACGTTGTCTCAAGCTTATTGAAAATTTTGGCTGATCTCCAAGCAGATCCTACGGCGGCATGGCATTGTCCATCGGTCAAGTGCCTGATGGTCACTCTTTGACCAATGGACATTGCCTCTCCACCTTAGAATCTGCTTGGAGATTGAAATTTGGCAAGTTTTCAGGTTCGCATAATGTAATGGCGAGCTGTGTTTAGCATATCAAAGGACTCTGTCATCATCATTCAGATATTTGCTCGCCACTTTGGACGCACCATCTCGCCGTCCATCCCTCCTGCTGACCTTTACGGTGCGCCAAGCGGAAGGAAAAGGTCTGTTTACCGGGGAAATGACTAGCGAGGATAAATCTGACTTGCGTCCCGCTGATAACGAGATTACCCGTCGATATTTACGCTTGTCGCCCACACGGTTTTTAACGAAAGGTTGTCGAACTCTTAGTGGAAGTAATTGGTCCCAAGTGTTTTGAAGGGTGCGTGGATGTGCCTTACAAGTTGAGTCATGCTTGCTGTGATAAATGACATTTGCAGCCACTTTTAGGAAATGTCAGGAAGTTGAAAGCCTTCCCACACTATAGCGTGGGGGCTTGTCTACTGATAGTGATATATCATCAACTCCCATGCTTGCGGGGGATTTGAACCTGTATTCGTTTGCTGTGATTTAGCCGAAAACAGAAAAATTACTTGAGAACGGGGACATCAAATGAACATGAAGTCTAGAAAGGATGTCCACATTTCAGTCGTTTGAGTGTCCGGCAGACATTAAGAGCTTTCTCTTGAAACCCCAGATTGTTGTACAACAGTTGTTCAGCACCAAGGACAGGGCTTCTGCGGTTGCATTACGTTGGTTTTAGCCAGCAGCCACATTAATACCAAAAGTAGACTGTTAGAATATCAGTAGTCTGACGATAGCCAAGCGTCTAAGCGACCTATACGCCCAGGTCTTATCCCTAAGGTGGTCCTGTGGTTAGGCCTGTTGACTTTGGCAGACTCCGGTCATATTCTTGGAAAAGGCCCTTTACACCTATTTCCTCACTTGACTCAGGTGAAAATCAGCAGTCTGTTTTCTAGCGTCAGTCAGGAGGGTCCTTTTGGCTAAAACGTTTGAGTTTCAGGAAGTAACGCCAGGGGTCCAATGTTTGAGGAGAGCCACACTTATCCAAAAAAAAGTAGGGATTGGGTGGATCAAACCACACAATCTGGTCTTACGCAGTCCGGTATCATTTTATACGTACTGTATAAAACCAAAGAGTTGCGCCTAAAGGCAGTTTACCGGTTATGCTTAACAAACAGAAATCCGTGGATAACGGGATTTTGATGGACTGCAGGAAATGTCAAATGACCAACACGCGTCTTTCACGGGGTAACCTTTCGTCCTGCGACTTTCCAATGTGCGTGGGACGCCCGTCAACATGAACATACACACACGCGTCAACATGAACACACGCACACCGTGTACACACATACACAGACACACGCACACACATGCATACACACACACGCACGCACATATACTCGTACACGCGCGCACGCGCGCACACACACACACACATACGCAAAAACGTTACCAGAAACATAGCGATTGTAAAAATACAGGATATCAAAGAGGTCCGGTAGTAGTAGCAAGGGTGAAAGCCAAGGTTCTCATCGATGTAAAGTTGTTTACCGTAGCCCAGCCGGGGGCAAATCCGGAAACCTACGAGCCTTTTAGAAACGTCAAAGTGCTGTGCAAAGCGCAAACTCGACACCGGTAAGTGTTGGTTAAAGAAACTCTGACGTATAGTTGGTGACGTGGAAAGTTAGGGGGTCGGTGTCTCTGCGGGCACTGCCAAGGTTCTGTAGATCTGTTCTGTTCCAAATTCTAGCCCAACTAAATTAGGACATCTTCATTTCGAAACCCTTGAACAACCAATGGAATAAGTCAAAACAAGACGATAGTATGGCGGCTGTACTTAATTTCCTTCGATTTAATAATTGGACGATTTTTAGCCTGGATTAGCCTGGCACACTAGGCGCTCTGGATAAATTTGGGGCTAGTGTGTTATGGCTGTAGCATCCAAGCTAAAGAGAAATATGCTAACAATAATGCCAAAGGGACCGAAAAACAAAACAAAAACAAACACAGTTGTGGTAACGCACGTACGGAAGTACGGACGCGGTCAAAGAACGACCGGCACGAAAAAGGCCTGCAGGTCGTTTGGGGATATTGACTCTTCAAGGCCAAGGTACGCAGTTGAAGTCCACGTGCACAGACGTTAACGATTCCTCCAGACAAAACACTACAATAGTCCTGACAACACCGGAAAGGCGGAGGGAGCTGCGCGTGGCTCTTTGCTCAGAGTGAGACGTCATCGGTAATGGACGGGGAGTGAAGTGTCTGAGTCATGGAGACGGGTGAGTTCAGAAGGGGGTGTGTGATGGGCGTCTCCCCCGACTTCCGCCTACTCACAGCAGCAAACAGGTTATGATTAAACACCTGTCAAGGCTGTTTTAGATACGGGGTATACTCGGTGTTAACACATACAGTAGTCGCGTGACTTTGTATCTGTACTGCTACCCGATTGGGACATGGTTTGGAGTTCGGTTTTGCCTTGGTTAGCCACCAGCTGGACAACGTCCAGTTTGAATTCTCCAATACATTTTTTAAGAGGAAGTTTACTGGTTCTACCACGCCGATCTGCAAAGTCGGGCCTTGAATTTTTTTTCTGCATTAGATTGAAAATTACCTGCAGCATACAAGTTATACGAGTACCTGCATCATTCAGAATTTAGAAAGTAACTCTTCAGAAACCACTGCTATTACTTACTGGTATTTCGTTTACACTTCCTTCATGTGGCAATCAATGAAAATCCACATACACGTACTTATATGTATATATAAAAGTGCAGGTAGACATAAGAAATTCCCACATAGCTCCAATTTTACCTGCACTAACTTGCATATGCAGCTAGCATTACGAGCCCTGAGAGAATATTTACTCGTTAGTCCATCTGGGCACACACGGATAAGCGTAGAACATTCAAAACCTCTAAGCTAAAAGTGCAGTAATGGGTGGGTAAACATCATTAGGTGTATGGTCCATCTCCGGTACGGGGGGTCCGCCTGACGTGGGCGGTAAGGATGACTCCGTTTCCCGCTCACCGAGAGGGTATTTAAACCGGGTTTGTTCTCCTACCTCCAAACGGTCTCCAAGGAAAGCCAGAAGCGATCAGAAGCTCTAATTGTCCTCTTGGTGTAACGAAGTCTCCACCGGTAGCTTGGAAGCCGAACAGGTTCAACGGCCGCAACGTCGCACAGTAGTTCGTACAGTCCTTTGCATTAACAGGTGGGTGTCTCCTTTTTTAGATTTTCTTTAACTTAGAATTTTCCTCAACAATTCGAATTTCCTTAGACTGTGTAATGCTTTGTAGATATGAGGAGATTTCAGTCACACAACATCGGGCAAGTTTGTATTTGACGCAAGCTACAGTAGGAGTGTATGACCACCTAGATGAAAAGATTTGCAAGGATTTTCTGAGCAGTGTGTGCCCGATGCTAATAATGTCCACCGAAACACTAGAGCTACAATTGTGCAAAAAGACTGGGTCTTCGGTGAGAGAGGTTTCTTTCCCGTGGTCCAATTCCATCACGGTTTGATCTATGGACTTCAATGTATAAACAATTATGTATACTCGTCTTTGAGTTATGATTTCTCAGGGGTTTTCTAAGGGTTCTCTCATATATCAAATGATTTGGGAAGACGCGGAACAGTGACGGCAGGGTGTTCACATAGACGGCATCAGATGCCTTGGAGAGGTTTTAATCGATGTAAATGCTTTTACAGCATCGTTTCAACGGCCGATCTCTGGCGCGCGTCATCCTAGATGCTTAAGTGTTTGACTTTTTATTAGAGGTGGTTCTGTTTATAATATCTTGGTCTGTTGTCTTGACTCTAGATCCACATATGTCACGAATGGGGTCCCTAAAAACCGTCGCCGCCGCCGTCTGCGTGTCCGCCATCTTGATCCTCCTCATCCAGCCCGCCCATGCCGGCAGCAGCTTCACCACCAACCCCGACATCTTCGACGAGTCCGGGGACCCGGGCCGGCGCACGCTGCCTCCGCGGGCGGAATGGGAGACCGCCATCGCCGACCTGGTCTCACGATACCGGCACCTGATCCTGGAGATCCTCGGAGACGCCTCAAGCAGCTCCACTGGCGCCACTACACAGGAGAGAAGATCCACGGCAGCGCCAGCAACTGCCGCGTCGGAAACAGAAATGTCACAAAGTGAGTACACCCCAGGTCCTAGCTAATCTATAAGCAGATCTTTTGGTGGTTGCATCAAATTGGCAAGACAGCAAATTGGCCAGGCCCAATGCAGCACGAATTCATTGGCATTGCTTTAAATCTCCAAGCAGATTCGTTCGGGCGTATTCATTGGGGCTAGTGGTAGCAGGTGACATGGTCACAGGCGGCTGATATAGACTACTAGTATTTAAAAATAAAAATAAAACTTCTGGCTGCACCGTTGCACTGAGGTGGAAGATCAAAGTTTCAGTGTAATTTCTGACATCTTGTTTTCTTCTCTTGTTCCCAGGCCAACTGCGAAACGTGGTGAACAGGTACCGCCAGCTGATCCTGCGGTTCCTCCGGCGGGACGAGGCGACAGACATGGCCGCTCAGCACAACGTTAGCCGATCGCCCGCAGCTACAAGGGAGACGGAGGGGAAATGAAGGCACAGAAAGGTAACTATATAATGGTTATCACACCGCAAACTGTGGAATATCAATGACAACAAGAAATGGGAGTTTTCAGACTTTGGGTTTGCAATTCCTGGCTTCCTGAATTCCCTCATGTCGGCCTCTAATTCTTGCTGACTCCCGGCCACCTTTGACTTCCTGTCATTCTGTACGTCAATCTTCCCCTTCCAAGTGCTGTTAACCTACTCTGTTCGAACAAACGATGTAAGGTGTTGGGCATCGGGCCTCTAGGGGACAAATCATAGTAAAGCTAGCTATGAGAATCTGCCTTTTACTTGTGAATATCTCAAAATTGTTAGTCCTCAACATATCCTAAGAATATTTTGTTCTTTTCTTCACAGAAGAATGTCGTCCATCAATTGAGGAGCTTTGTTAACTAAAGACAGCCTGAAGACTAAAGAATACACCAATCACATGGACATGTTGGCTGTTTTGTCATGCATGGAACAAACTGGAGATAGCTAGTTTGCTTTAACAAATTCCTGAAATGGTTTTCTTAAAAATTCCCACTTTTCTTACATACATTGCTATACCATTGAATGAAATTTAGAAGTTGTAACTTTGCCTCCAACGGGAGAAAACTTGCGCATGTTCCCCCCGTCAAAACATGCTCTCGCGAGAGTAGGCGTTCAATATGACGGCCATATTTTTAAAAATCCGACATGTACTGAGTTTGGACACTTTATTATCAACATCGATACATCTAGACCATAATGTAACCTTGCACGAACGTCCCAAAAAAAGGTATAGCAGTCATATTCATCCTCCACTATGGTGAAGCATGGTGGCTTTTAAAGTAGTTGATATGTCTTAAAAAGAACCAAAGAAATAAATATTATTTCAGCACATATGATATCCAGTTGTCCTTTCTTCTTTATATATATATCATATCACGTCATGTCTTGTCATGCCAACACTTACTATGGTAGAATTGTCCTACCAAAGAAATTATTACATTTTGAGACCCCTGGTGACTTTCCTAGGTACTGCAGCAAAACCTTTGGTAGGTTTCAATATTTGGTTGCTAAGGAGGTGCATCCATGTAGAAAATTTGTGATGTATGATCTGAACGTAGAAAAAAGTTTTAATGTCATTGTACACATGGCAACTACAAAGCTTCATATTTGTACTTTTTATTGGTCCATGAGAGGTCTGTCTTAGTTGTCTCAAAGTAGCTCTGGGCAATCAAATTTGATTGCATCAAATTAGATGTTTTCCTTTTTTTTGTTGAAAAAGTGTCAATGACTGAAGAAAGTGAACAAAAATTAAATTCTACTGTAAACATCATGATTGCAATATGCACTACAACACTGAGGTAGACTAGTTAATACCATTGCTTATCAAAGAGAGGAACTTCATGATCAAAATATTCATCAAGGGCAAAACAAAGTCTGCAGCATATATGTACAGTCTACATATATGTACCGTCATTTACGTACTGTTAGCTACATACATGTGCTTTTTGCTACATACATGTACCATCAGCTACATACATGTACTGTCACCTACAGACATGTGTCCTCAGCTACATACATGTACTGTCAACTGTCTTCATCCAGAATGTCCATGGCGAAAAGTTGTTTTAATACCAAGAACTCTTTTCTAATTCTAATCAAAGTAATCACTTCATGTGTACAGCTTTAACCTCGAGCACTCCAAGGATCAGACAAAAAGAGGCACAGCAGTATGTATCTCTTCAAGTGCTTCACATGAAAACCAAGCTAATACTCTTACGGTTGCCAAATACTGTGGCACAAACAATGTGTTTCTGTGGCCTGAATTACTGAGGTCAGTCAAGATGCCGTATACAGTTTGAATGTTCTCTCAGTCTAGATGCCATATACAGCTCTCGTGTTCTCTCTGACTTGTGCTAAGACCTCGCTCAATGGGATGCACTTCAGTTCAGCAATCTTCTCAGCAACACACACAGCCATGGCTGGATGGGAGCATGTCACCTTGCCTTGTGGTATCTGGAACAAACACAAGAATTAAACTAGACAGATGACGAATAACTAATGCAAAGTAAATACATATTGTTTAACTTCACACATCTAGCCTGGCAAATTACTACTCTGTTTATTCTTACTCATACATTTTGTACATATTCATAAATGATGGTGACCAGACTTTCCAACTCTGTCCTGCCACTTGCTACATAAAGTAATCCAACACCACTAGCTACCATGGTGACAGAGGTCTGTTTCTTGTTTTGAGAAGAAGAAGAATAAACAGCGAAAACAGAATGTTTTCCTTCTGCAATGGTGAACATAATAAAGAGCTGCAGTACTGACCTGCCTCGGTACAAAGTAGGGGGCGTCGGTCTCCAAGAGGAGCCTGTCGAGCGGGATCCGTCGCACGGCATCCTGAAGCATCCGGGTTGTTGGGAAGGTCACGAGCGCAGTGATGCCCAGGTACATGTTAGGGTACCTGCAACAAAAAAGGTTTGGGCATCTAGAAAATACTTCCTGTTGTATCTTTGACTCATACCTTCACATTTGTAAAAAAATAATACTGTTAGGCATGTGTCGAACAGAGGTTCGGTAACAATCCTTGGTAAACATCTGCAAGCAAATGCGACTAATTGCTTGCTTTGTGTGATTCAGTTGACACATCAGGGTGTCTGCTACAGCACCAGTTACCATGGTGACAGGTCATTCACCTTATGTATTTAGAGAAGAAGAAACATCTAGAAAAAACAATATCTTTTCTTCTGTGAAGGTAAACATGACGTTTTCCTTCTGTAAAGGTAAACAAAACAATAGCTGAACAGTACTTACGCTTCCATCCACATCTTTGCGACAGCGAAACTCTCGGTGAAGCAGTGCCTGTGGATGATGTAATCACGTGGCACCAGGTCCCGCATTATCTCCATCATCTCATCATCTGCCTGACGGCAGTGGAGCACCAATGGCTTCTTTATCTGCATCGCCAGCCGCAACTGCAAGGGGGCAGTACAATGCTGTTACTAACATCAAGACTGACTAAAAGCAACCTGCAATACCAAGTCAGTTAAGTGCCCAGAAGCGATCCATGTGGCTTTGTTCTGAGCAAACTATGTGAGAGAACTCCTTTGTGTTGGATCAAAAGTTTAAACTTTAAACTGATCAAACAACTTCTACATGTATACGACTTTTTTGGCATCAGTCATCAAGACTTTCAATTTCTGTGTATTCTTTAATACCGGTACCTAAAGTCTGAACCAGACTCAACACCAAAACATTAAAATCTAAAATCTTTAAAAATCACTTGGGTCACCTCACCTGTCTTATGAACACCACCCTCTGAACGCTGGGAGGTGAATAGTCCTTGGAATTGTCCAGTCCGATCTCACCGAACGCTATCGCCTTCTCGTGCTGCAAACAGTTCAGTAGGTTCACCTCCGTTACCATGCTGTACTGCTTAGCGCTGTGAGGATGGCATCCAAACGCACCCCAGACGTTGTCGTTCTCTTCGAGCAGCCGTTTCCAGAAACCGTCGGCAACCCAGGACTTTGGGTCGCAGAAGACGGCAACGCACCCCTCGAAGCTGGACGGAAAGTTGGCCTTGCTCATGAACGCTTGGAACGATTCTCGGAAGGACATCCTATCAAAGAGGTAGTCGATGTGGCAGTGGGAGTCGACGTATCCGGCGTTCTTCACGCCGACCTGCCAGACATACGACACCTCCCGAAGCGACGGCCAGCTGACCATCATCTTCCTCTTGTACGGTGGGGAGGTCACGCTGCTTGACGTCTCGTCGGATGTATCTGGTTCCTTCCACATCGCCGTTCCCGGACGGTAGGCCGGTATGACGTACTTCCCAGACGTACCCCCATCAGCAGTTGCTGATTTCTTCCTCATTCGCGGTGGGACCTCGAAATGCCCGGGAGGCAACAGGTTGAAGACACTCCTTTCTGCCAATCCGAGTGTCGCACTTCGGCCCTCCATTGGCAACTGCTGCTGCATGGCTTCTGGCGAATGTGGAGAATACCAGTGACTTCCATGCTGCTCAACGGGTGCGTTGTATGGCCCAAACGGAGAAGTACTTTCCTGAAAGAAAACATTGGGCTGTGCTGCCCCCTGAAGAGCCACAGGAGGGGGAGGTGGGTACTGGGGAGACAACTCCACCTGGGGGGGTGGTGGGTAGGGAAAGACTGGTCCGTAGGTGCCAGGCTGTGCAGGCGAGAGTGGAGGGGGAGGGGGGCTGTTGGCATTGCCTCCCACAATGTTCAGGTACTCGCTATTCAGCATCAGAGACTTGTGGAACAGATGGAGGGCGTAGTTGTAGTAGTTCTGGGACAGGCGAGAGTACTGGACACTCTGCCGTTGGAGTTCCTGGGCTTTCTGCATCAGGTGAGGGGGGAGGGGGGCTATCTCGGGAGCGCTCTGTACGCGGTTGTTGCAGGGTGACACCTGCAGGGAACTAGACTGCTCACGGTGCAATCCTGGTGGGACTCTCAGAGGGAACATTGTGCCCTGGACTTGAGCTGGGGGTACTGTAACATTGCCCCGAAATGCGGGCAACAGCTTTGGAGGAAAGCCGCTACCGTGGTCCACGTTGCCACCATTTTGTCGCCGGTTCTCGGAGTGCGGGTCGGAGTTGGCTTCTTCCTCGTCATCGCCATACCGCCCGCCCTCCAGCTCCTCCTGCGACGCCAGGCTCAGGTTATGCTCCAGGGACGACGTCTCCGAACAGCTGTCATCCAAACACTCCCTCCTGTAGTCTTCCCAGGGCGGGCTCACCGGACATGGGGGGTGGAGGTCTTCCGAAGGACGTCTCAGGAGACTTGGGGAGGGCTCCCGGGAGGGAATCCTACTACTCGGTGCGCTGGCACTTCTTGTCATCCCTTCTAACTCATCCTCTAGGTGTGTCTTGCAACTCAGAAATCTTGGAGGCATGGGTGTGGCTTTCCTCTTTGGTTTCTTCCTCTTTTCTTGAGAAGACAGCGGAGTGTCGGGGAGAGGGGGTGGCGGCATCTGCGCGCGATCCTCCTCCTTCCTCTTAAGCAAAACTTGAGATGGAGAGGTACCTCCCAGGACATCTTCTTTCTCTGTCGTCTGCTCTGCACTGCTACTAACATCTTGGTCTTCCATTTCTTCTTCTTTGTCACTCCACCAGTTATCTGGTATCTCCTTCTTGGCATCCACTTCTTTCCTTGCTGCATCTTTAGACTGCGTTGAAGGCATCTTGATTTTGAAAGGTTTCACTTTAGGCTTCGGTGAAAGTATCCTGTTCAAGACACTGTCGGCTGGACTGAATGTAGCTTTCTTGAACATGGTTTGGGAAGCTTCACGTGCCTTCTGAACGTGAATTGTGTTCCTGTTTTCGTCAGTGGAACCTGCCTGCAAGCATACTTTCTCACTGAGTGGTTTGGTGACAATAGTGCTTTTGATTTGGTCTACTTTGTGTGATTTGACTTTTTTTTGTTCATCTATGTCAATGTGGACTGGCAGAGAAGTCGGGGTACTTCTTGTCTTCTCCGTCTTCCCTGATTTTTTTGTCTTGCGTCGAGATGGCTTGACACTATGAGAGGATTCTGTGTGTGGTTTATCTTGTTTGGCCTAGAAGGACAAAAAGTAAAAAAAAAAGGTAAGAAGGTTAAAAAAAGGTTAATTATTGCCTGTTTGGAATGGGGCTCGAATGGGGGAACTTCAAAATCATTGGAACAGTGATTCCAAATCATCCAGAACTGTACCTCTGATTTCTCACTTGCTGGAGGAAGTGACTCTTGAAGCTCTAGTCTCTTGCCCGAGATTGGTGGAGAATCTTTCTGAAGCTCCGCCCTCTTCCCTGTGATTGGTGGAGGCACTTCTTGAAGCTCTGCCTCCCAGTCGTCACTCACCACAGCATCAGCTATCATTGAAGGCAGCCTGTAGGGCAAATGTAGGGTTACTTGAGCAACTGGATAGATTTTGTAAATTGTCAGATATTTCAGGTAGTTTCCATTACTTTTCGTCAGTGACTTTCATCAATAACCGTCCAAAATAAGTGGCTACTACTTCAGATGTCTGACAGTTTTCAGTCTATCCAGTGCTTGAGTGATAATTTCCTTGTGCATCTCATTACCTGGATGTAGGGTCAACATTTTAGTTAACATAATTTCGTCGCAGACAAGTACTTATTATGGTTTGTTTTTGGTTAGCAGTAATCCCAGAACAAATTTTGCTAGAAATTTTGCTGGCTGTAAAAAAAAAATTTACAGTTGCTATTACTTACAGTTTCTATTAATCTCCACAAAGCAGATGATTTTTCCCCAACATCTGCTTGGAGACTGATTATCTTCCCTTTTGAACCTCCTTGATCCAACACAACTTCTCACATTCTGTCAATTCTTCTCAGTCGTCCGCAGTCCCCTTCCTTCACTCTCACATGCAACGAACGACTGACACCCAGTTTTAAGACGAAACAAGTTTGAACTCTAATTTCCAACACAAGAAGTTACCAAATTTTCGTCACTGTAATAAATTTAAAACTCCAGTCTTTGTCATGGGATGAGCACGAAAATTTCTCGTGTTAGAAATTGCAGTTTAAACTAGCTTCATATCACAGTGACTTCTACCAACACAAATGAACTTTGAAGACAAGATACCCCAGTTGTTTTATCGCCGAGAAGCCTCTCACGCCGTCCCCGTCTGTGCCACCGCTACCTCCCACCGGGCCGCTCAACTCTCGCCCGGCTTCCTTCCCTCTTCCTCCGCCAAGGACACCAACTGTCGCCCCTCCACGGCCCTTTCTCGAGCCTGCCTCCTTCCCTCTCCTTTTACCAACGTTCCTACCACGCTCTCTACCCTTGTTAGCCGCTTCCATCCTTACAAACGGTTAGTAAAACTGTGAAACCATGGAAGGAAAGAACTGTCCACAACAACTTCTGCAGCTTACCCAAAAGTTCTGGCTCCCAAGATGCACCGCGCGCCGCGCAAGTTTCCCGCCATTTAGGTCTTCTTCCGGGTCAAAGGTAGGGTCATATCACTGGTCAAAAACAAACTCGTGTGCATTTTTTAGCCACTAGCTGGCGAGGAATTATACATTTTGCGGTATCTGCACTTTCTGTAAGTTACAGAACTTTGGGACAAAGAAACGGAAAGGTAGAAGTTGCAGGTTTGATGATTCAGCGTTGCGAAGTTATTATAATTTGCGTTTTCCTGAGGTTATGCAAGGAGCTCCTTGGGTTATCTATCTGTTGTAACGTTACAAATCTAAAACAATAATGCCGGAAGGACCAAGTGTATTGCAATGGGGAGAAGTCGCCCGACAGTTTACAGGACGTGAAATCAACAGGGTTGAAGGTAACACGAAGACCGTGAACAAGGCAGAACTTGTAGGTTGCTGTCTCAACGATGTAAAGGTGTATGGCAAGCAGCTTTTTCTGCAGTTCGTACCAAAATCATCAGAGGGCGGAGGTGAGCAGCAGGGCAGGTGGATAAGGTACCACTTTCTGATGTGGGGCAGTCTACGGGCCAACGAGTACAAGGGGGTCTCCAGGCAATCCAAAACTGGTAAAGTTCCTGTACCCAGGTTGGTCCTACACTTTGCAAAGGAGGAATTCTTGGCATTCTACGGTGGAAGTATGCATGAAGTGGACTCTCCTGCTTGTGACCAAGGCACGGATATTCTCACAGCCTCCTTCGATGTAGAGAAGGCGGCAGATGCGATACAACGTGCCCAGCCAGTCTGTTACACTCTCCTGGACCAGACCTGTTTCTCCGGATTGGGCAACATCATCAAGAACGAGGTGCTCTACGCTGCCAAGGTGCATCCGCTGCAACCCGGCAACCTGTTGTCAAGGCAACGGGCATTGGGCGTGGTGGAGCAGGCATTGGCTTTCAGTGCTAGATGGATGGAACACAAAGAAGAGCACAAGGTGTGATATTGTATGTATTTAGTGAGGTATGGTTGTGTTGTAATGTAAATTGTGTGTGTATTTACGTGCGTGTGTTTGTGTATGTATGTGCACGTTTTCTGTTGTAGATCAGTAGATGTATCACTCCCTAATATTTCTGGGTTTTTAAAGATTTAAGAATGATGAATGAAGTGTAAATATATTTAACCTCATCCCTTGTATTTTTTATACATGTTTATAGAAGTTCAAGGAACACTGGCAGATCTACTTCAAGAAGGACTGTCCGTTGGGTCACAAGACGAGCCGGGATTGGTTCGGACCTGAGGGAGGTCTGCAGCGGGTTACAACATGGTGTTCAACATGTCAGCCACTCGAGGGGGTAGCAGAGGAGAAGGTCTACTCCAAAAAGCTCAGACAAGCTGGAAAGAGGAAACGTTCAGGATCACAGAAGGGAGGGAAGTTGCATCGTAGTTCTGTTAACAAGAAGGCAGTTGAGCCCAAAATGGACGTTTCCATTAATAACAAGAGCAACACAGGCAAGCGAAAGAGGCGAAAAGTGCCACAATCAGAAAAGCAGACTCAGAAAAGAAAGAAACTTGTGAAAGAGCCAGACATAGAGCCTGAATCTGACGATGATTTTTGCATTGGAAAGAAAGTGAAGATGCCAACCAGAAAGCAGTGTAAGAGAGGAAAACTTGGGAATCAGAAACGTTCTAAGAGTAGTACAATTGTACAAAGTCAAGACCATGATTTTACAGCCATAGTGTAATACACATTGACATAGACACTGATGTTGTTAAAACTTTTTATTCCTTTTTGCATAGTAGGTGAGTCCATAAGACATACTAAAACAGGCACAAGGCTAGCTATCAAACTTTCTTATTAACCACTGATCCCATTAATGACGCCCTCCCTGATTAGCAGAACTAGTCTATCATAGTTAGCGCTCACATGACTCGACATATCGGATGTTGGAAGGTTAAACCTGGTAGTTTGCAGGTAGATTTTTTTTTATACTGTAATTCACTAGCAAAATTTCATGGACATTTTTACAAAAATTAATCTTCATGGTGCTAGCAAATGCAGGGGGGGCAAAAGACCTGATTTGATTAATGATAAGTTCACTGTACAGAAGTCACTGTGTGAAAAAGTAGTACTGTGAAAAAAAATCAAGAATTTCTGTATGGAACTACAGCCACATGATTATAACATTAAAACAATATGCAACTTATTACAAAACATGACGGCTGTAATAAAAGGACGGACTGCATGGATCAATGTGCGAGCGTTCGTATACTTATGCGCCCTTTGCAAAATATCTATGCAACACTTCTGCAATGCACTCTGATTCTTTTCTCAGCCACACTTAACTTATTTTGTGCATTTTTTCTCCATTTCGCCCCCACCTCTTCAAGGGATCTTTTTTACCGGATGTTTCACGTTGCACATGCACAGTTGTGATACATGATGTGGTCATCAAAATGTGCTAACCCTTCCTTGTTTTCAAACCAGGGGCCTTAAGCTTTGCCCTCTGACCACAATGCATAACAGCTGCATGTGCACCCTCAGAACTGTGAAACAGCTTATTTTAGGTGTGGCTAGACACTTCAAGTTAACACTGCTGTTAATACAAGATAATACATTGTATTTTGTCTCACTATAGGAATGATGAGAAAACAACAAGCGTTTGTCAACACTGGTACAAAATATACATACAGGCACAGTTACAGAACCAATCATTGTCACAACTGTATACAGTGTGCTCTTAGGCAGAATTATGATACATTAAGCCCCTGTAACACATTCAGAACCTTCCCATGAACCACAGCCAGCCAAGGTGTACTGCCAACCATGGCTGAACCTCCTGTTCACACCCAAATGTTTGAAACAACAGTCAATCGAGCCAACCTACTCCTAACCATAGCTATGTGTGACAGGGTCTTCAGGTAGAATTTTCGTCCTATTAACATTTCTTGTCTCAAGGGAATCATGTGAACTGAGAAGTCCAGTGTCCATTCTTGGTTAAAGGTCTAACATGTACATAACTTAGGTATCAAATAATTCTCATTTGTTAAGATTGACAGTGTGTACAAAATTGCTTTATCAAGTTTAAAAAAAGATGTCCAGTGTTTTGGTGTTTTCACATCAAACTGGCAATTCTCATAGCAATCCACCATGCTTTAATATAGCAATACCTTTGCAAGTACAAAGCAAGGAGCTTCATTTGAAGCAGATTGAAATGATAAATTAGCATTGTCAGTTTTAAGCTGTAGGCACAATGACATTACATTTTGCACTTAACAATACTGTTACTGTATAATGTTACAAGCTGGTTCACAGTGTGAACTGTACATGCGCAGTCTGAAGCACTGTGGGTAATAAGTCAAAGTTAAAAGCCCCTGAGACATGAACAAAACATGTCTGGACATGTATCAAGCATGGTCTAGACAAGAACTAGAAGTTTAGGGTCTTCACCTTACTGCATGTACAATTCAAACCGTGAGCTGGCTTCTTGTTAACATGTGTATACATCATTGAGGCTTCTTGCCCCAAACATGTTTGACAAACCCTTTACAAATCTTACTGAACCAGTAATAGTTCAGCACGTTAAAGAGCCCACAGCCAAAGATGTAGCACAGGGAGACCTGGAACGGTAGTTGCTGAAAGGCATTGGTGGTCCACATGACCTTGACGAGGTTGAAGGTCGCGATGGCGGTCAGGAGGACGCGGGAAAAGAAGAAGGTCACGAGCATGGCGGCACCGTTCCAGACGTAGTAGTCAGACGTACCGTAGCCTAGCTCTTTCAAAATCGTCCTGAAACAATGATAAGGTTGATAGTTACAAATTTTTGGTGGCATGTGACATTACAGCTTTTGCTAATAACCAATTCATAACGTGTTATCATAAAATTTCCTGCCATTTTTACCACTACATATATAAGCATCATAATGATTAAAAGGAAAAATTCAGTTGTTTTTGTATCAATTTTTGTAGAACAATATGAAATCTACAACGTTCTTACTTGTTGTATTTGGGATTTCCAAATTCTACCTGGTATGACTTACTTTAACAGACAATTGGATGACTTACCGTAAGTTGACTGATGGATTTGAGACTTCCATCATGTAGGAGATATTGGCGTAGTACGGCATAGCAGGATAGCTCTGTTGACAAGGGCAGAAAGACATGTATTACAGGGCAACTGATACATACCGGTATACACTGGAGAGTGCATAGGACATGTTTTAGGGTTTCATCTATTCTATAAATGGTGCATGCATAAACTGTTCTACCACCATAAACAGGACTTGAAATGCTCTTCATTCATTGTTTTTACCCTCAGTTTGGATCATTATTAGGGGTTTCTGGTCGTTATCCATAGAATCAATCTTTTTCCATTCCTTACCGCTCCTATGTAGGCAGTGAAGAGTGAAGTGACGTGATGGGCGATGAAGGCCTTAGTCGCTAGCTGTGGGTTCCGCACTAAAATCACCACATCTGGAAAAAGGATGGAAGATGATTATGCATGCGTTAGCCTCTACCAGGCTTGAGAAACGGCTGGAAATAGCAGAAATTGGCCAGATGGTGGTGCGTTACCAATAATCAAAACATGGAATTTCTACTCTTTCCAGCCGCTTCCAAATGCTAATGATCCTCGCTGCTATCATACAACAATTTGATTAGCCAGCACTTTAATCCAAGTAACAACACAATCTGATGCCCCCCTCCATAGCGTAGTTGGCCACATGCCCAGATTCTTTGAATTCCACATGCTTGCAATTTCTAACACATTAGCAATTATCTTACCTGCCATGATATAACCCAGGTACAGGGCTGAAGTGAACCTCACCACTGGGGAGTTGAACCTAACAGGAAAAAAACGGCATCATAAAATTTAACAGATTATTCATGGACACACAGTGTCTATTTCATACTTTATGATGTCTGAAGGTTACAAGCACACTGAATACAACGCCTGCAGAGTGGGGCTGTGTACCAGTACTGTGTAATGTTTCTGTCCTTTTTGAAGAAGTTCAGTAGAAAATATGTTCATTTCTTATTTGTTCTTGTGACTTACAGATGCCATCGGGCTTGTTTCCTGTACCTGTGCCTGATGTTATGTTAAGGTACACAGCCTTACTGTAGCGTAAACTTACGTTTTCTTGTGACTTACCAGACCCCATCGGCCGGAAGGTCCGTACAGGTGTAGGCGTACCAGGACAGGATGGCTGTGACAGTCGCATGGATGCCTGCCATGAAGCTACACAAAAACAACAACAAGGAATTAGAGACTAAGTCAGACTTCCAGGAAGTATATACTAGTACTAGGAATGCCCCTGTTTGACCCCTTTTCTGTCAATTAAAAATCATTCCGCTTCAGTTTTCCGATAAATGTGCAATTCTGGATTGTCAACATGACTTCACGTCTTCTACACAAATTTGACAATAATGCTTTTCCATCTATTACATTATTTTCAGTTTTTCCATCAAATTCACATATTAAAATGTCACATTTATAGAGATGTTAGTAAGTAGTGTGCCCCCCACTCCCGCAATGATTATTGGATCTCCCCTAGTATTACACAGCAGGTCAAGCTGAGGTCATGTGTAACATTACATGTTGGAAAAGCCTTAGGTCAAAAACGAACCTATAGGACATACACATACCTCAGGGAATAGGACATACACACATGTAAAAATTGTGATATCACTAACGTTATACCTAAAAGATACAGCATTCACTGGTGTTTATCACATTCTTTGTCTTATGACTTCCCCTTTGTAGTCAATAGTGGGTGGGGATGTACTACATGTTGTAGCCTCCCTAGCAGGCTTTAATACTGGGTGGTGCCTTTATGTTTATTAAAATATTACATGCCATTGTTTTGATTATATCTCACTTCCTACTGTACAAGCTCTTACACAAACATAAGAGAAACTATCAGTGACATATAATCATAAACCAGCATATATAAATTTACTTTAAAGTAATAAGCAAAATATATATCCCACCCGTAAGCCTGCGAACGAGGCTATCCCTTTAGGGGGAGGGCGGCAAACCGGTACGATGCATGACGCTCTGACCTTTTTAGTGTTTCCGGCCGGCTTTCTAGGGAAAAAACACAAAACGAAACAACGAAACTCAAGGAGAGGGGCAGAAAAACTATGATATACTAACTAGTCATCTACAAGGATCCTCCTCTCCGTAGACAGCTCGCCGTAGGTCTTGAAGAAACCGCCGAAGAAGGCCGGCGAGACCTTCTTGAAGACGACGATCCATGTGACGATGGAGCCCAGCGTGGCGACGACATGCAGCGTCTCGAAAGCCATGGTCAAGACGGCGCGAAGACGGGACGGAGACACGCGAAGACTGCGCACGAGGACAGGACTGTACGGAGATACACACACGATGCCCGGCACACACTTCCTCAGCAGACAACCGGCTTGCTGATTAGCATAACAATAATATAGACGGGCTCACGAATAGAGGGGGGGAGGGTGGCTTCCTCACTGTCCAAGCAGATGTTGGGGCTCCAGCTTATTTTTTTTACGTGTTCTAGGCGTTTTAACGGACTTTCCTTTTTGTACTGGTATTTTATTTACGCTAGCCGGTAGATCTTCTTATGGCAAATGGATACTGCCTGGCCAATTTGAATCGACACTATCTAATATCTTGGCAGCAGCCCAAAAGGTCTGCATGGAGATTAACGCATGCGCGCTTCCTAATATATTAGGGTACTCTCGAGCTTCAAGCAGAGGTTCAGTACCCATTTATAAAGGATGCGGCTTGTTTTTGACGTGTTTTAGGCGTTTTTATCATCGGGCTGTCTTTTTTTTCACTGGTATCAGTTTTTTTTACACCAGTCGAGTGGTAAACGGTATAAACTGCTTTTCCAATTTGAGATCATCTGATACTCTCTTTGCAGCCAACAAAAGGTCTGCTTGGAGATTAATATACAGGATTTATTCGACCCTGTTCGTGCAGACGACACCTGTCATTTGCGATCGATTTATCAATACGTTCAACGATTAATCTTTCAATACACATGCAGGTGATCACAGGTAGGTAGAAAGAAGTGACGTGAAATAATCGCAGACAAGGGACTGTACGATTTTCATCGTGGGCGGGTGTGTAAACAGCTTGATTAAGTTGTTATCGTCATGAAGGAGATTACATTTTAGGGACTGTATTGAACAGCGTTATAACTTATACATGTATTACTTACCGCTGACTGCAGAGCGTTACACAGTCTACATCCATGTGTCAACCATGTCTGAAAAAAAAACAGTGCTAATGAACATGACGTTTTGTGTAGGCGTGAGTCATTTATTTTCAGCAGATGACACCAGAAAACGTGTGTGTCTGTATGTTTTAACAGTGCCTGAACCAGACAAGTTGGACAAAAGTGAGAAATTTGATACAACACTGTAGTCGGGTCGTAGATCATGCCATTGTCACTGCTATCAAGGATATTTTAAACCTCCTTGTAGTCTAGCCTGATCGCTTTACGATTGGTCACCCGAGCATCCAGCCTGCCAACTTTTGCTACGGTGGACACTCAGGTTTATTCATTGATAATCGGGGAGTCTTTCGCATTAGGCTTTGGGCTTAGTCTCCACCAGACTATCAACGCAGGTTAAAAAAGTAAAGTTTAGGCAAATAGGGAGAATAACTGTCCAGGGGGCGGGAGTATAGCAATCGTAGATTTCATTTCCCGCGCAAATTGATAAACGCACCCGCGGACTGACTCCCCTGGCCTTTTTTGCCGAGTCATTCTATGATCCGCAGGAAAGTCTGGTGGAGGCTGAGCTGTATGACGTTGTGCACACGCAGTACATTCACCTAGTTCACAGTTGTCCAACGTCTTTAGGCCACGGCAAGTATTTTAAAATTTTATGGATGACATGCTCTGCCGAGACTTTAAATCAGGCTAGTGCGGACCGCGATAAATACAACGTGCTTTCCTTTTCAAAATAGACGATAAACATTATAGCAAGAACTGAATCGACAAAAATATGGAAATGGACTGCCTATTGTTTTACTCTTGCTGTCTTACATACCGCTTACAAATCATAGTCATTGATATGTTGCCTTCCACGCTTCCGTTCGAAATACCCTTCGTCACACAGCGTTATTATATGGGTCATCAGGAATTACAGAGAGGTGACCTTTAACCTATTTGACCTTTTGACGCGGTAAGGCTGGTACCGCTGATCTTGAGGAAATCCGGTCTCCTTGTTCTCTGGGCTTGGACTTTTGGACAAAGGGGAATTTCACAAAGCCTGGGAACGATGTCAGAGAAGTCATGTCGTGGGGAGAGCAGTCGTGACCAACAGGTGAGACAATTTACAGTAGTTTTTCACTCGTGTTCCGACTCAAAGTGCTTCGCGCCCAGGGGCTATACATCCCGAAACGCCCATCTAGTTCTGTGCCTGAAATTGGGTTAGGGTTAGGATCAGAGAGGTTCTGGATGGTCTCCGTGTATCTAAGAACGCAAATTTGCCCCAGACACGGTTCTGGATACCCGTTGACTACCCAGAGCCGTGCCTGAGCTTGGTTCTGGGGGCTCAGGATAAATCACAGCTCTGGCTTGGCTCTGGATACAACAGGGGCCTAGAATTGGGTTATGGTACATTTGTCTGTACTCACTTGTGTGATATATGTGACTTAAAGCTATCTACCTCTGCTAGTCACTTCTGCAAAATTTATTCACCCACTAGTATATTTTGTCCGCCGTGTGAGAGATTTTTCCTGAGACATACAATTTTCCAAGCCTCTGAGCTATGCATGCGTAACAAAGGTGGGAAAAATCAGGTTTTCAATTTGTCTGGAACGGATGGTGATGCAATGGGTTGTACTCCAAATATGGGTACTGGTTGTACAAACAGTTTGATTAGTCTGGGGCCTCTTGTTGTGTCTCTCCCAGACTGATGTTCTAGAAATGGCATATTCTACTCCAGGCAATTTTGGGGGGACCAGTGTTGTTTATTTATAACTTCTGTTTTCTTTACACAGTACTGTACAGTGGGGCCCTTGATAACACATTTACATATTCTCTACATGACTATACACATAACAAGTACTAGTATATATAGATACACAACACTTTACAGACTTAAAAGGCCAGCTAGTTCAGTCCCCTGTCGATATTTTAAAAATTCAACTGAGATCAAAGGCCTCGGTATAGACTAATTACACACATTGTGATTACAATGTTCAATTAGCATGATTAGAATGCGTGACCAGTCCAAAAATTCAAAACTCAATTTCAAACAGGAGCTTTGATCTGGAAGGTGTCCTGCATACACAGTGTCAGTTTCCGAGCAACCCAAATTCAATTATGAAAGGAAAGATAAACAAATATTGGCGTAACCAAGGCTACCAAACACCCATCTTACAAACATGGTAACAGACCTAGATCACCAGACAGGGATCAGTACTGTAGGTGTTTGCAAATCCTTTTGTTTTTCTTTTTACATAAAATGCAATGTATACATAAAAGTTTGCATCAAGATATAGTTATCTCAGCCCAAGAATGCTTACTCGTGAGAACGCACCGCATTTTGGAAAATTTGCCCCCTCTTTGTCATAAACCTTATAGAACACCTTCAGATTGGGGAAGGAAGGCTTTGAGTTGTACATTACATTGTCTGTGCTCTAAGCTAAAGATATCGCTGCCATTGTATCACTAGCCAACTGTCTAGTAATGTTTTATTTCTGAGAAAATTGACAAACGTTACAATGTTGTATTGTTATTAGATGATGGAGGCAGACAGAAATCAACTTCTAGAGGGAGGAGAGAAGCACAACTGCCTAGAAACAGACTGTGGAGAGATGAAACAAGAACACGTCATCAAGACTGAAACTGATGAGAGGCTACAGAAGTACATGTACCAGGAAATTGAAGGATCAGTGCTAAAGATAGACCGTCTCCCGATGACACATTCCAAAGATGGCGAAAGACCACGAGGTAAGAGACACCGCTGTCCACAGTGCGGCTACAAAACAGACGCAAAGTCTGCCATGACAAAACACCTCAGAACTCACACCGGTGAGAGACCCCACCGCTGCCAGCACTGCGAGTACACCGCCGTGCAGTCGCAGAGTCTGAAGCGCCACGTCATGGCAAAACACTCCGGCGTGAGACCGTTTGTGTGCGGGCACTGCGGGTACTCGACCGCAGACAAGTACGTCCTCCTCAAGCACATCAGAACGATTCACGGCGGAGAGAAGCCGTATAAATGCGCGGTCTGCGATTACTCTGCATCGAAGAAGTGCAACCTGGAGGGCCACATCATGGCCAAACACAGCAACCACAGGCCCCACAAATGCACCGAGTGCAACTTCTCCTCAGTCAGCAAAAAGAACCTGAAATTTCACATGGCCACCCATACTGGGGACAAGCCGTACAAGTGTGAGGTTTGCAACTACTCTACTGCTCAGAAGCATCACCTGAAGCAACACATGGCCACGCACACGGGTGAGAAGCCTTACAAGTGTAACATTTGTGACTACTCTGCTGCAGAGAAGTGCAACCTAAACAGGCACATGTCTAAACACACCGGGGATAAGCCATTCAAGTGTAACCTCTGCAATTATGCCTCGTCACAGAAGTCTCACTTGAAGCTGCACATGTCTAAACACACTGGCGTGAAACCATACAA